GGGCCTGATGACAGATGGGAGACAGAAGATTGGGAAGCTTAGACGGAGCACTTTTGGCCCAAACACAGTTGGGGAAGAGACAGTAAAGGCAGTTTTTGTGGGGAAAGGATGGCGATTAAGAGACCGATTACAGCATCTGTCACCTTTAGGCTTCAATTTTTACTTCTTCAGAATAAACCCAGCAGCGCTCTCACAGCGTGAGGCTGTGGTTGGCGAGTTTGAGCCACTTTGCAAACCTTAGTAATTGGAAACAGGCATGACAGGGCTTGGTAAAGCTTCTTCTTCTTTTTTTTTTGTCTGTCTGCATTTTAGTTTTTTTTTTTTTTTTTTTTAAAGCAAAAGGTGTTTGCAATTTGGGAAATACCAGTTCAAAGGCCTGAATAGGATAGTTAAAGGTGCTCATTGCAAACTTTAAAATCGATGAGGTTATGTTGAACAATATCACAATGAGGAATTTTCCATGTATGTTGATATGCAACTCTGAAATGTGGGTGTTGATATTTTCTGGGTTATTAATACAAAAGTTTGATATGTTTACACAAATTACAGTTTACTTTAAAATGATAATTAAAGTGTTTGCCTGCAGTTTTATCTCTGAGTCTCAGAAAGGATCAGTACTTTGTAAACATTGATACCAGTTTATTTTGTTCATCAATTTTATCATCACTCTTATTAGTCATTTACTTTATATCACACTCTGTTAAAGCTTATCTAAAACTGTAAACAGCTAAACCCTTTCAGCATCATTGTGTGAAACCTTTTAACTTCCGTTTCTCAAACCCAGCTCCAGAACCAGTCACTGACCACAAACGTACTGTCTGTTTTTTTTTCTGATAAGATTGCAAATGAGGTAACGCCTGTTGTGTCAAAGCAAGATCTGTTACATGAGAAGGTGTATAAATGAGACTGTATTGCTCATGATTTTAGAGAACACACAAGAATTCTTGGGCTGCGTTTCCGTTCCATGTGTTCTCTCCTTCTGCAGAAGAGAAATAAACCTTGCTACGTGTTTTTAACAAAGTTCTCAGTCTGCTAAATTTTATTGAACAACAAAGTTTGATAAAACTCCACATGGGTATGCAATCAATGTAAACAAAGCACTTTTTTTGCATATTTTACTTAAAATATGTAGCAGTAAATCAGAAGTTATGGAACTTCTTAATCCTAAACAGCTCTTAAGGGAACGTCACACTTGTTGGTCTATTCTTAGACCAGGGGTGTCCAAACGTTTTAACACGTGGGCCAAAATTATCCTGATGAAAGGACTCGTGGGCCACAAAAATGTGAATTTAACACTCAAGAATGTGAACAATATTTTGGAGAAAGGACAAAAGCTTACTAATTTTAGAGTAGAAAGAGTTTTAAATTGTTGTAGATCCCAAACATTAAAAGCCTCATACACACTAAGCTTACATATTTGTTAAAAAGGATTTGATTGATTTGATTTATTGGGTCTATGTTTGTTGTTTTCTTGTCTCTGTTTTAGTCTGTTCTCAGCAATAAAAGCGTAATTTGAGTAAGTGTCCTTTAAAGGGGAATCAGCCTTTTGGACCACGGCTCAAAAGGCTGAAGTTCTGAAAAACCGCCCAGGTGTCAGTCGCTACGACAGATTCATAGAAGATTTGATAAAGCTGATCAACTGCTATGCAGATGATACCACGTTATATTCATTTTAAAATGTCCAATTTCTCTCTTGGTTATTTCATCAACTGCAACATTTAGCCAAGTTATATGACTCATTTTCCAAAAGTCTCCTTCCTGTAGAAATCAGTAAAGGTTGTAGGTGCTTTATATTACAAAGTGAAAATTAAAAGATTATAGTCAAAGGTTTGTATTTTGCTTAATATTGCTCATTTTCAGAAGATTGTTTTTCATCTATTTTGCTGTTAAACCTAAACATTATATAAAAAGTATTACCAGCTGATTTGCAGAGAGTCTGCATTAACCTCCTAAGCCTGCTGGACAAAATGATTCCATTCTTAAGCTGCAGTTGTGCGCCGCACAAAATGACTCCAAGGGCCACAAATGGCCCTCGGACCGCACTTTGGACACCCGTGTCTTAGACACGTTGGCTCTTTATGTAGGTAAATGAACACACATGTTGGCAGCTGTTCACAAATTTAGCTGAGAAACTTTGATCTAAGGACTTACTGATCATTAATATAAGAAAACAATATGTACCAATTTAGTTTTTTTCTTTATGGTTTCTGTTTGACTCGTCTCCATGCCATTGCAATGAGTACCTTTAAACGTAATTACTCTCATCATTGCTGTGATCAGTTATTTGGATTTCCCAGCAGCTCTGTGTAATATGGATTACAGGTTTAAGGTTCTGCAAACTTTGACATTTTTATACTCGATTACTGTCCTGAGCAAAGCTTGACAACAGTAGCAGTGATGAGGAGACACTTTCTAACAGTGCTTGATAAAAATCTACATCCAAGAATGTGCTTGCATTGAATGTGATGTATCTCAACCCCAGATGAAACAATGATGACGTTTGCATTCCAGGTTTTGGATTGTGCACATTACTCAGAATATTTTTTTGTTGTTTTGACATAAATTTTGAACGTAGACAAACCTCAGTCTCACAAAACATAAAGATGATGGCACAGACAAGTTTCCTTTGGTTGAATATACACAAAAATCTGTACATTCCTCTCTCTTTGATCAGTTTGCTTAAATATCTCATTAGAAGCAATAAATATATAAAAGACAGAAAACACAGTTTGAAATAAATAATGTCATTTTCAATCTTTGCCTCTCGTCACTTTTACCAAAAATAAACTCATAAACTTTATGAATACAACAGAGAGCAGAAGACAATTAGGGCTATGTTATATATATATATATACTTTTTTTTCTGAATTTTTACTTTTTATTTCTCAGAATTCTGAGAAAAATGTCACAATTCTGAAAGTTTTTCTTTCTTTTTTACTGTGGCCCTCATCTTCTTTCTTATAGATATGACAGTCAGCTCAGGCTGGTTTTCTATGAGGCTCTTTGGTCCCTTAAGTGTAGTCACTAAAAGGCCATGCGTTTGGATGCCAACATGGATAAACAGAAACTTTTAATTTGGTAAGACTATTTCAATGTGACATACTGATGAGCTTTGCCTTTATTAGCAAGTCTGCTCTGCTTTTATCAATACACATGTCTGTGGTAGCCAGAGGAAGCACTGACACAATCGACAGGAAACAAAAATAACAACTCATGCATACACACACACTCAGACACACAAGTCAGCAGAATTAGACAATTAGTAAATTGATGTGTTGCTGCTGACAGCCCTTGTCCCAAAGAGTCAAAAAGCCTGCGTGGAGTTCACATTTGGACATACTTTTCTTTTTATCATTCTGTCGCTGTCAATAAATTCACCTTCCATCTTTTCTTGCCTCCCACATACAACCTAAAAGTGCCAACTCAGAGGTCCACTGCAGGCGCTGATGTGCCCGAGGTGCAGCTAAAGAGCCACTCGGCCACAAGGGTCTCAGAATAACCGAAACAAAAGGTATAATTAAGGGTAACATCACACATCCGTAATTGCATCGTTCATCTGTCCGTTATAGAAACTGTAAATGTCAACCTGGTAAATGCTGCTGCTTGTCTGGAAGCAGAATTTTAAGGAAAAATATTGTTTGCAATTTAACCAATCATTGTTTTTCAGTCTTCAACTGATGCCTCCCCCTATTAGACACAGGAAATAAGCTCCGAAGGAGTTTCACAAAGTTCAAAGCTGTTTTGATTGTTGCTCAAAAGTCCAAAGAATAAGTGAGCTCCTTGGATGAGATCCTCAGGCCAGTTAGTACATTATTGTGAGAGTCCAGTTGAACACAGGAAATGACATGTCAAAGGGGTAACAGGGATCACACCATCTTATTTCTGCTTTTCAATAACACTGATGTGATTTTCCACAGAGTTTGTTCAATCCCGCAGTACAGAAAAAGGTGAAAGCCAGGACCCTGGATCCATTTTTGGCTCCTGCAAAGCCATAAGCAAGGTGGCTTTTCCACATACAGTGTCCACAAGTTTAGTCTGAAAGGGTGGCCTTGTTTGTGCTATCACATTTGAGATCATTTGAAACCATCTCTTGTTGCTCTTTAAAATCAAGAAACACATGTTTGCCCTGCAGTGAGACAAATTAAGACTGAAGAAGTAAGAAATCACCGCTAACCTTGTGTCCTCTTTGTGCTCAGTGCTGATAAATAAAAAGGCCCCAGGCTCACAGGAATGTAAGGTCACTTGCCTTTCATGCCCATTAGATCTGAAGCACTTCAAAAACCTTATATATCTATATGTTAAAAGGTCTTTATTCACTTTGAGATGGTTTTTAAAGATCGTCTATGGGTGATGTGCACATGTCAGTGATGCAGCAACACCGTCTCTCAGCCTTGTCTATGAGTCAATACGATTTGGAGATAAAGTGTTGCATTCAGACTCTTATCAGCAGCACGGAAGTGTTAAGCAGTTTAATGCAGTTTGTCTCCCGTTTTCATCTCATACCCTCTGTCTACCAGCTGCAAGCTGCGGTTACACAGTCCAAGTTTCCTGTTTGCACAATGTGGCTGAAAAAGGTGTCTCAGTTCTGAATTTCAATCTGAAATCTGCACAGTTTTACTTATTATTATTATTTTTTTATATTTTTTACAAAACAGCCCTTTAAGTGGTTTGAAAAATGGAAATGATTATTCTTTTATGTCTCAGAAAAGGCTTTTTTTTTCTGTTTGTGTCTCATGAAGCGTATTCATATGCTAAAAGAAGGTCCCCTTGGTGCCTCCACACAGGATCTTTTTGAAAGCCTTTCTGAAGTCTTTGTTGAAGATGGTATATATGACTGGGTTGAGGCAGGAATTGCAGTAGCCAATCCAGAAGAAAAATGTAAAAAGGGGTTCTGGGATGACGCAGGTCTCTGGGCACACTGCTTGTAGAGAGTAGGAGAAGAAGAAGGGGAACCAGCAAACTACAAACACACCGATGACCACTGCCAGGACAAAAGTGAAGCGTTTCTCTCTGTTGACCATTGCTTTGCGCCTGGAAGCTCCAGGGTTGCTGTCTGTTTTTGACTTTCTCCCAGGCATCAGCCGAGCCCCCTTTGAAGTAGCAATCATGTCACGGTAGCGCTTGACTGAGGCTGGAGAGTTGACCCCTCCACCAGCTGGTGAGCCTGGCATGCTGGCACTGCCGCGGCCCCCTCCTTGGCTGTGCTCCATATCACTGTCTGTGCTTGAGCTGTCACCATTATTATTATCAGCCTTTCTCCCCCTCATACGCTTGCCCTTCTTGCCCCCCTTTTTAGTCTTTGGTTCAGACTGAGGTGCAGAGGAGGGGGATGAAGGACCACGTGGAGAGGTGTCTAGAGAGGTGACAGGAGACATAGCTGGAGATGGGGATGGAGGCTGGAGGAGATTATTGGCTGTGGGATTTGGAGAAGTTTGAGAGTCTCCTGGAGATGGAGATGGGGTTATGGCAAGAGTGGGGGGTCTGGGGTTTGAGGTTTTTTCACATGAAGGAGGAATACTGTCTTCTTTGTCCTTCCCATTGGCTTGTATGTGCCGTGAAGGTTGAATTGGGGTTGCACAACCCACCCCGTCCTTCCTGGGCTCTCCTGGTGGACAGCGGGTTCTCTGCTTGGCTATTTGATAAATTCTTATATAAACCAGAATCATGATGAGGCATGGCGCAAAGAAGGAGCCGATGGTGGAGTATAAGATGTACCAGCGCTCATCATTCAGCTGGCACTGAGGTCCTCTCTCACTCCCCCGGTTGCCCCCCTCACTCTTGTTGAGTGAGAGCAGTGGAGGGAAGGAGATGATGGCAGAAATGAGCCACACCACCACAATGGCACCTTTGATGAGCCTGGGAGTTCGCTGGCGTCCATAAGTGACCCTGGAGACGGACAGGTAGCGGTCCAATGAGATGGCGCACAGGTGCACAATGGAGGAGGTGCAGAAGAGCACGTCCAGCGCCAGGTAGATCTCACACCACAGAGACTTGAAGTACCAGTAGCCAAGCAGCTCATTCGCTAGAGAGAAGGGGATGATGAGGGTGGCCACTAAAATGTCTGCAGCAGCCAGGGACACCAGGAACAGATTTTGTGGACCACGGAGGGACCGGCTGGTCAGGACAGCAATGATGACCATGATGTTTCCAAAGATGGTGAAGATAACCATCAGGGTTATGGCGGTGGCAAAGGCTGCCGTGGCTTCAGGGGAGTAGGGAGCCAGGGCTCGGACACTCTGGTTGCAGGGCGCGGAGGCTCCTGAGCTGCTCGCGCTGCTGTTCCAGCTGCTCAGCAACATGGAGCAGCCGAAGTCCACAGCTGAGGCCATGCTCGGATTGCTGTGCTAGACTGAAAAAAATAAAATAGACCCGTCATTGTTATTGAAAACCATGTTTGAATAATAGTGCCATGCGCTATTTTACAACTCATAAAGAAAGATTGCAACTGGCATTAAAAGTTTGTATGAGTCAAATGTTTAGAGAAGAAAAAAATTGTGTCTCTTTACCTCAGCTGTTCCAGTTTTATTTTTTATTTCACTGTGTTTGCAAACAGATCCATTGGACCCTCCGTGGCAGGTCTTCCAAGTCCATTTTGAGCGCAAAAGCCAGTCCGGAGCAATGCGTCAAAACGCAGATCAGACCTTTGTAGATGATTTTTTTTTTTAAATATGCCACTTTGTAGAAAATATTTCTTCATATTAAAAAAAAGAAAAAAAAAAGAAGAAAAGTAACGCGGCTCGTCAGCCCTTTAAGAGGATAAAGCCAGCCTCCAAAACTAAAATATATTTTCCTGCAGCTAGATTCATGCTCTGAATGGATTAGTTGAATTCTTAAAGGTGAGAATGTTTCGTTTTAAAAGCTCTAATTTAAGATTAGAAAACAGCGAGGCGGCAGTAAATCTGGGTACATTTGGACACTTGCGCAAACCGTGCGTCCTCGTTTGGAGACGCGCGTTCATCGGTCAAAGAATTAAGACATAGAAGAAGAGAAAATGATACAGACTAGCTATATAATAAAAAAAAAAAACAATATTTGTTTTTATTTTGAAATATAAACTACACCGAACCCAGCAGCTCCAGTCCATGGAAGAAGAAAGGACGCAAAGTTCACGTCGAGCTCTCCAACGCTGCGCACAAAACCAGATGTTTCACCAAACCGATCCCCGCTGAGCACCCTGTGTCCCCAAAAGTCTCAAGAGTTGCGTTTTTGTCTCTCAGTGCTGCAGAAGTTCGCGTGCTGCCCTGACCCAGCCGCTCCGCTGGCGCACATCCTCACCGCTCCTGACAGAGGCGCAGCAGCATCTCCTCCTGCGCACAGGACCTTCCGACGAAATCTAATAAGTGGGGTGCCTCCCATCTTCTTCTCCTCCCGGTGATGTCACTGTGGAGCGTCATGGGATCCTTGCTCTCTTCATCTCTGTAAGCCCTCCGCCCCCTCCTCCTCCTCCTCCTCTCAGAACGCTTTGAATCTGAACCCAGGCGGCTCTAACGCTGTTAGATTAAAACTGTCTTGTTGGGAGACACTGATTCTTCAGTCAATTAACTCCCCATGATGCTGAGGAGTCCAGCTGGGAGAGGATGGCGGTCCTGCTTTACAGGAAACACAAGATAGATTTTAAAGAGTTGAGAACTTGTTTGCATCACTTTCTCATGGCTGACAAACCGTTTGCTCTCTGCTTCTTTAGACTTGTCATTTATTCTGTCTCCAGCAACTTCTCTATGATCTTTACCCTGGAGCAGCTTGAGGTTGCTCAAGTGAAAGCTCCACAACTTTTAGCAGCCTATCAGGGGAAAACCCCATTATGACATTTTGCTTCGGTAAAACCTTGACTTGGAGCCAAAGGCACAGACATTTTTAGGCACATGATGCAGTGTTGTTATATTTTAGATTCACGTTTATGAAATGAAGTAGATGAAAACAAACGGAGTTATTTTAAAAAAATGAAGAACTTATAAAACAAATGCATTAAGTGCTAAAGGGCTCTCACACTGTTGGTTCGGAATCCCAAAAGTTGCATATTAATGCTATAAAAAATGATTATGCAAAAATACTTGTGTTCAACAAATATGGTGTAAAGGTAACTATTCTCTTCATGCTCCTCCAGCCTCTTCACGCTCAGCTACCTCCATTTTTAAATGCACCATGTTGCCTTTCACCTCTGCTGATGTTGCGAGGTGCAGAGCCGAGGGATCAGACACTCTCCCTGCTAATGCATCTGCTTCACCGCTTCACTTCTATTTAAATCGCTCTGCATTAGGAATCTCACATGCAGCATTTCCTCCCCCAGGGGAGAAAAACATCCATGACACCCCTTGTGATTGGTTGCCCACTTGAGATTAAGTGCCTGATTGTTCAATTATGAAGTGAAGCCTACATCAAGCTGAACCAGAAGCCGAACAGAAGCAGAGTGTCGTGTGGAGGTGGGCCCTAACACACACAGTGGAGCGATGATCCAACATACATTAACCTGTCAAGCACACACACACACAGTCTTGTGAATGGTGTGTGAGTAGGAAGTCGTGTTTACTTGTTTTGGTTGTGCACACCCCCACTCACACACGCGCACGGCTGCTGTAATGAGGGAGAAGCTCGGCCAGCCACCCATGGAATTACAATTGAGGGCCTGCTCACTGATTAAAGCAGCAGCCAATAAATGCTTGCACATTTTTCGCTCCCGTTACACAATCTGAATATAAAAGGACGGGGAATAAAGCTTTTAGGAGGAGAGAGCCCTCCAATCAAGTGCCTCTGTTTTCATGCATCCTGAGTTTGAGGGGTGTGTCACCGATTCCAAGGTTACAGGAGCTGAGCAGCACACAGCGCCTGTCCTCGTGTGCTTGTTGTGCAGGAGCGTGCACACACACTCAGGCCTGGAGGTAATTCTGCTGTCATGGATCACCCACAATGGATCAACAATTCCTGCTTGACATCCGGACTGGAAAAGATTGAGCTTAGTCTGGAAAAAAAAAAAAGAGCTCTCTCTTAGAAAACTTTCTGTACTTTTTCTCCCTCCTCCCCATTCTGTTAGAAAAATGTCAAAGTGGAAAAGTTTATAACAACTTTACCTTTAATTTGATCCCTATGGTCGCCCTGTAGCGAGGCGGCACATTATAGTTCAGGTTTAAACAACATGCGGGCACTTCCTGCCCTTCTGATGATTTTGGACCTTTAAAAAGTTTACTGTTCTGCCCCCTGACCTTTGTGTTTCTAATCAGGTCAATGCGGGGCTACGCGGAAAACACATGAACAATCAATATTTCACCTGTTGAAGACAGCTCTTTGGACGACCTCATTTGGAGAAATTAAACTGAATTCTGTCTGAATAGACGAGCTAACAGTTAGTTAGAGTGGGACTGAGATCAAAATGGATTGCTGCCATCTTAAAACAAGTTCTGGCTGAAAAACAAACAAGAACAGCCAGAACTTTACAAATAATCTGAGGCCCACTTTTTTATTTTGAACACTCTCATAATCGTTAATAGATTTTCTGATGATTGTAATGCCACACGTTCACATGTAATGCTGTGACTGCAATCAATGTTTGAACCAGACAGAAAAAGACATTGAACCCTGCTGTAGTTTATATGTGGGGTCACTAGTTGGCGCTGTCATTTTTTGTGTTTCAGCACCACGTGCACGCTTAGTCTCAAGCATGACAGTTTCATCCAAAATGCCAAATATACGCATGTTCGTTTGGACCAGCTATGAGGTTGAGATGCTGCTACACATTTAAATCCACCCATTATTTTTACCAGCTTCTTCCTTTTCGGGTCACGGGGGTCACTGGTGCCCATATCCAGCAGTCAATGAGCGAGAGGCGTGGGACACCCTGGACAGGTTAGTCCATCACAGGGACACATAGAGACATAGGAGACAAACAATTGTTCACTCTCTCACACCTGTGACAATTTAAAGTTAGCATATTTTTTGGACTATAAGACACTTAAAATCCTTTAATCTTCTCAAAAATGGACAGGGAGCTTTATAATCCAGTGTGCCTTATGTATTATTTCTGGTTGTGCTTACTGACCTCAAATTGATTTTATGTGATAGAATTGAACAATATTGAAAGTTGTGGTGAATGAGTTGAATAAAGTTTGACTTATCTGTTTTTCTTTCGCTCAATGCGCCTTATAGTCCGAAAAATACGCTACAATCAGCCTAACATGCATGTTTTTGGCCTGTGGGAGGAAACCGGAGTACCCGGAGAAAACACACGCATGCACTGAGAGAACATGCAAACTCCACCCAGAAATGTCTGCAGGCTGGGATTTGATCCGGCAACCTTTCCGCTGAGAGGCAACAGCTCCACCGATTGAGCCACCATGCAGCCTACATTTAATCTATAAAAATAAAAAGTTTCAGGAAAATGTAGACTATTAACTGACCGCAACTGTAGTGCCCATGGGCAAAAATGTTGGCTTTGGGGTTAATTGCATTTTCTTTTGAAACAATGGCTGGAAGTTAAACAAAAACCAAACAGCTGAGACCTTGATTCAAAATGTTTCGGTTCAGCTGATGTAAGGTAGACAAACAGCTGAAATGTAACCCAGCTGTTTTAAAAACACTTCGTGACTGGGCCTGAAACAGAACTCCATGATTCTGTAGAGACTGTAAGGAATGGTGTTTAGTCAGGAGACTGTTTTCCAAACGTATTTTAAAATAAAAATGTTAAATTAATCATGGGTTTGTTTTAAGTTTTCACATTTCTACTGGATTAAGAGCATTATTTCTGGTAAGAGTATCCAGTATGTGTGTGTGTGTGTGTGTGTGTGTGTGTGTGTGGTGGGGGGTGCAAGGAATTAGAGGGAATGCTGTCAAATGGTCACAGCAATTTTTTCCATGATGCATTTTTGATGAGACCCGACCCCCTGCTGCTTCTCTCTGTGTGTGTGTGGGTGTGTGTGTGTGTGTAGGTGGGTGCACCGGTGCAAACATGCACAGGCTGTAATTCCTCAGCCACCTTTATCACTCACATATTCTCCTCACCTGGGATTTCGTGCTCATGTGACACAGTCTTCCGCTGTGAAGAGCAAAATCCTGCAAAACTCCACGTCCAGATGAAATGGGATCTCTGTGCTAATCCCTAATCTGACACCCTCTTGCATTTCTTGCTGCGTTGCAGAGACATACAGACGCAAACACCCGTCATCAGTAGGTATTGCCGCAGCTTAATATAATATGATTAGGCCTGACAGTGGTTTAATCCGGACTCACAGTGTGACTAATAGTTTGAGTCTGTTTTCATTAAGGAGGCTGATTGATAAAAGGATGAACTGAAAACGACAAACTTAATGAGAACAGAGGCATGGCCGACCTGTTCTACTTCCAGGGATCAGGAGGAAATGTTCACAATAGAGGACGCTCAGAGAAGATTCTGTGTCCAAATGGACAACTCTGAGAATGAGGACACGCAGAGAATGTATAAGAAACATCTGGACAGGTGTTATGTGTGCTGACTGGAGAAAGGCAGACTCAATGAGTCAACAGTGTGCTGGCGTCATCTGCTGGAGACGGACAAAGGCTCTGCTTGTTTTTCGAGCTGCCACTAGAGGGCACTGCTTCACTTCAACTGATGCTCAGTGTTGTCATGGGGGTCCAAACTTGATCATATGTGTGACAAAACTGTTAAGATTCATGGATTTATGGGACACAATATTTTTTATATCCATATCCATTGTCTTTACCCGATTCTTCCTTTTCAGGTCTCAGGGGTCACTGGTGCTGATGTCCTGTGAGAGAGGCGGGGACAGCAGGTCTCCAGTCCATCACAGGGACACATAGAGACAAATGAGACAAACAACCATTTACACTCTCCCACATAGGAACACACACACAAAAAAAATTTAAGATCATTTAAATACGCATTTTTTGTGGTGATTTTATTTATTTTTCATTTTTAAACTGAACAACAGCATGAACATTGTTTTGGAGAAAAGATGAAGCTTTACTAAATTCAGTGAAAAGGAGTTAGTTGTTGCAGATCCAAAACATTGAAAGCCTCAAACAATAAGCTTATATTTTCTTAAAATATATATTTAATTTATTGGTACCACTTTACAATGAGGCTCCCCTTTTAGATGGCTAATAAATGGTTTATAGATAAGTTATAAATAAGCTCTTTATAAATAATTAATAACTGCTTATTATGCATTAATTAAGGGTGACAGAGAGACAAAACTGACCAGATTCTTGCCTGTTCACCTATATATTTCATCTAGAGTTGTTATATTAAACATTTCAGACTAAGTTACTACCTTGTAAGCACAATAAGCATTTGTAAATCTATTTTTTAACATATAATATTAGTTGCATATACTTATAATTAAGTGATGAAGTACAATATTATATGCTAAAATAAACAAAGTTTACAAATGCTTATTGTGCTTACAAGGTAGTAACTTAGTCTGAAATGTTTAATATAACAACTCTACAGATTAAATATATAGGTGAACAGATTTGGCTCACTATTTGACAATGAACTGGTCAGTTTTGTCTGTTTCTCACCCTTAATTAATGCATAAGCAGTTAATAATGATTTATACTGTTTTGATAGAGGAATTAATAACGTATCTATAAACTATTTATTAGCCAGGAGCAAAGTGGTAGCAATTTATTATATTTTTGGATCTATTGTTTTTTTCTTTTTCTTTGTTTGTTTGTTTTCTTGTGCTTGGAAAGTTAATTTTAGTCTATTCACAGAGACAAAAGTGCAATATGACTAATTGTTATTTCATAAACTTTTGGACCATGGACAGTCCAAAAGGCTGATGGAAGTACAGAAGTACAGCTGGTCGGCGCTCAAACAGCTCATACAATGTTGGAAGGGACTAAAGTTGATGAACTTGTATGAAGAAAGTATGACTTTATATTCCTTTACAAATGTCCAATTGTCCACTATCAGTTATTAAATCATCTGCTTAAAAGTTGATATTTAGCCGAGTTTTATGATTATCCAAAAATCAACTTTTTGTTGGATGTAACTGGGACCCTGTGTACATAATTTCGTTCCACCACATGTACCACATGTGTTGTGTATGACAAATGAAATCCTTGAATCCTTAAAGTGATGTTTTAGTTCAACTTATAGAGATGAAGTTAATAAAAACTTCAAGTGAAATTGACTTCATGTGACGGACTCTTGACGTCTTTATGCAAAAGCAGAACATGAAAAGTTCGAGGGGCGTTTTTTCAGTTTTCTGTCTGGAAAATTGAAGCGAATGGAATAAAGAAGTAAAAAAAATGTCTGTTCCACTCATGTGTAGTTAAATAAGAGGTACTTGCAAATGAGGGGAAGTGGGTATTTTTTTTTAGGTAGTGGGTGACATAAGGAAGAAGTGTGGGTGTCAAAAATAGGATGTGAATATGACGTAGTTGTAGCAGCTGTTAAATGATGGGAGGAAACCTTTTCCAACTGCATTTTGGGTAATAAAGATTTTAAACCACTGAAGTTATAGCTGTGTGGAACATGAAATGATTTAACACAAATCATGTGGTTTTCTCAAACTTTTGGATAAAAAAAGTGCATAAATGTTCAAATGCAGCTGGAATAGGCGGACATAAATTTTATGTCAGTGTTTGAGGTTGAGAGGACTTCGGTCTGTGAAATCCACTCTCCGCAGGATAATCCTCCAAAACACTCAGCAATGTGCTGCTTTAATATCTCCTGATTCAGCAAGAGCGAATTAAAGCGCCGCGGGGTCAGTGTGTGAAATGATGCATTTGCAATGAGGTTTGGAAAAAAAAAAAAAAAAACAGTGTAGCACACATCAGACTGCGAGCCTGAAATAAAACAGACCAGCAAAGTATGTTTTTACAGGAAAAAGTGTGTTCTCCAGCAAGTTTTTATTTCAGTGGGAAATCAAGAGGAACGGACCATAAAACTTGCAGATATAAAGTGCATTGACACGTTAAAGAAAATGATTATAAATAGATTTTAAAAAAACTACGAGAGAAATATAATTTTGTTGTGCAATTCATCTCAGAGTACAGAACGTTCTTATTAGTGCATTTAAAAATAGAGAAATTCATGTTGAATTTATGTAGATGTCTCACAGTGGCTCCAGCTCTGAGGGAACGCCTTCAGGAGCAAACAGGCACATAAAGAACGCCAGAAAAGCAGGATGTGCTTCACCTTTGACCGGGAAATGACCGTGAAGCTGCTCCAACCTGCTAGTTCTGGACCCCAGTTATTTACAGTGTAGCCACTCAGAGGCCTGCTGATTATTGAATCAAAAACGCTCGTCAGTTCCAGCTTGGAAAAAATAAAATAAAATAAACGTGATGCCAGCACCACAAGTAGCTTTTCTTTGGATTCAGAAAGTTGATCCTTCTGAAAAGAACATTTGGAGTCCTGATAAATCGGACCTCAGCACAACGCCACGAGGTTGATTTAAAAGAAGAAGAAGAAAAAAAAGTTAAAAAAAGTCATCGTTCTGAAGTTTTCATCCCTGACAGAGAATGTCCGTCTCAAACTGCAGCAGCTGTCCCATAAAAGCCAAATTGGGGGAAATGATGTGACGCCGCTGCTTCACGAAGTCGAAGGCCTCGTCCAGCCGAACGCGCTGCGTGTGCATGAGGTACGCCAGACAGATGGTGGCAGAGCGGGAGATGCCTGCCTGACAGTGCACCAGCACCCGACCACCACTCTGCTTCACCGAGTCTGTGGGAGGAAACGAAAAAAACAAGACGAAAGGAGAAACAGTTATCGCACTGCGCTCCATTACAACCAAACAATGTGAGTAAGTAAGCAGAATTAAAAATCATGTTCACTGACACTTTGCCTTCTAGGATACACATTTTTCTAAAGCGAACATGTCAAAACTTTAGTAAATACAATTATTTTCTGTAACTTGTGCAGCGTAATCCAGTTTTGCAACCACAAGATTTGTGCACAAGTTTAGGATTCAAAATGGATTATTTGTACATGAGCTGCCTAGAAATGTTCTGAGGCATTTCTTGTTCAAATGAGGCCAGTTTGACCAGAGCTTCAGTGAACAAAGACGGGCTGAACTCTCACTTCAGGGTCATGAGCAAACGGGCCTCACCTATGAAAGCGATGGCTGTATGAAAGCAGGCTCTGATGTCAGCGACCAGCGTATCCTCCACAGTGAGTCGAAGGTACTCGAACTCCCCCTCGTAGAAGTTGGGACAGGTGGAGGACACGTTCAGCACAGATGTGATGCCAGCGGCTGCCAGTGTCTCTCTGCAGGACGAGTGGACTGCACTGCCCAGAAACAGAAAGGGCAGCAGCTCCACAGGACCATCCTGCAATTTACAGACAATGAGTTATGGCTGCAGCTCAGTCACAGAGAAGCCGATGTGCAAAACGAATTTCACCTGATCATAAGTCCTCCTGTCTGTTGGCTCTGGTTCCACGAAGTGACTGCTGGAGGAATTGTAGCAAAGCTTCGGAAAGGCCTCAGAAAATCCTTCAAATCCACCTGAATGGAGTTCAAAGTATTAAATCAACTGCAACAACAGTGTCGAGGAGACTTTAAATGACCATCAGTTTGGATATAGATCAGCAGTGAAATGACTCACCTTGCAGAAAGCAGATCTGGGTGTGAACTTCGTTCTGCAGGGCGGTGAGCAACATCTGGGCCACGCTCTCGGACTTCAGCTCGGTTAGGAAGCGGCTCCTCTCATCCACCACCACCACCGGGGAGAAGCCCCCGCCCCGCAGCCGGCTCAGCAGCGCCTTGTCCGGGATGAGCCACTCCAGGGCCACCACAGAGCTCTTGGACCTGCGGCGCAGCATCGAGTTCCAGTTCACGTTGCGGGACTCGCAGATGTGCGCCGCGGAAAAGTCGAGGAAAGGTCTGCAGTCCAGAACCACGCACCCGTCAGAGGTGTACTGATCCCGGGGGGTCCTCAGTATGTGGACCAGCTCATTGCCTGTTATTTCCAACACGTTACTGCTTGAAGTCATGGCTTAAATTTAGGAATTTAAAAAAATAATAATAATCAAATAGATCTAAACGTTTAAAAAGTTATCTCACTAAAACTGGAGCTTAAATAAATGCCGCTAATTAAAAACGATATTTTCAAACGTTAATAATAATAAAAAAAGAATAGGGATGAGAGCTGAACTCTCTCAGAGGTCGCTTCAAATCGGATTTAGTTTCATAGTTTCTGTTGTTCATTGATAACAGCTGCGCGCGGGGCGGGGCGGGGCGGGGCCGAGCAGACTCCTCCTTGTTTTCCACAGCGGGAACGTCGGAGGCGGAATGCCCAAATATGGTCTGTTCGACAGTCCCCACAGTCTTGACGTAGAGGCCGAGTTTCCTACTGCGCACGTGGTCTTCTGGGGTTAGTGTTTTTGTGCAGAGTGGCGCTGTGCATCGAGCGTATATCGACGGTAAAAGCTGGAAAGTCAACCTCCAGAGGAAATGCTGAAGGCAGTTTTCTTCATCTGGGTTGAATTAATCCAGCTGCAGAAACACTGTTGAACCATAAATGCTACAAAGAGAACACTTTCCATTAATGCATCTTGTTTTTCCTCTGGCTTTCATGAATTGACCTTGGGAAAAAGTTCCAAACGTTAGACACTGTTTCTTGACTTGAACATTTAGTGAATATTGTATAAAAGTAGAATTTACAATGTTAAAATATAATCTGCACTACACGAAGTTTTCTCACAGAGTTGCCAACATGTTTTTTCCTGCAGATGAGTAGACAAGTGGAGATAAAACAAAGCTACACAAATATATTGTGTTTTTTATTCTCTTAAATAGAGACTGGTGATAACAATAAGTGGTTTAATTTTCATCAGATGGCATAAAATATGTTTTATAAAGAGTTTTTAAAAAAAGTTTGTTTTTGAACAGTTATTGTAAAATAAAATCTTGTTCATGAGTCAGTATTTGACAGTGGTTTTTCTAGTTATTTCTGAACGTCACGTATGTAACCACATTCATAGGCTTTTTTCCAATAAGAACTACCGGTATATATTTGTGAAACATACACAGGTTTTGAGTTTAACATAATTTTGTAAAACATGGCTGTCTTATAATTTTTCTTTTACTGCAACACTGTTGATTAACATACGTACAAATATAAAAAAAGGTTTTATTATCAGATTTAGAATTTACTTGTAGTGAAAAAAAAGCTTAAGGATTTAAATGATTCAAATGCTATTTTTCAATTTAAATTATTAATTTTTTTTTTTTCAAGGAGAACCAAAGCAGGAGAACAAAAATAAATTTACCAGTATGTAAGATCCCATAATATAAACTTTTCTTTTTGTTCTAATGAATCTGAGCATCACAGTTTGTTAAAGTGGGATGACCGCTTCATCGATTTCAACTGTGTGGTTTCTTTTGTATGAGAAACTAATAATAATGTAAAGCCTCAATAACAGTTACACAAAATACGACATGAAAGTATAATCATGTATAATTTAATTTAAACATTTTATGAAATAATTAACAATTGCAAGTGACTAAAGGGATTAAACATTTTAATTAACACCAAAGTTCATGCTCAATAATCCAGGTACAAAATCTATAAATTCAGTCAGGTCATCTGGACGCAGTGGTGTAGTCCACACGATACGGACATACGGAGTATACTTACTAGAAAAGCTTAAGAATTTCAGTATACCCACTTAAAAGTACCCAATGATACATGACATATCGTTAAGTACTTGTCATTGATACGTTAAATGGCAGTTAAACACTTCAGTAACAATCTATCTGTCTGTAACGCTTGTTTATTACATTTGTTTATCCAGTGAATTATTGTGTAATTAATACTTCTGTACTTACTTAATACTTGAACATGTTTTGCTTTGATACTGTTTTATAAATTCTATAACATATTTTTAATACAAAGCCAACTGCTGTACAAAGTTTGTTGTTCATTTATTCAAATAAGCATCAGATAAATTTGGAAAAATGTTCAATATGCTTAAAAATCAAAATAAATTGATGATTACATTGTACTAACAAGTGTACTTTAGTTTCTAAGCACAGTATTGGACATTCGCGCTCCCTGACTTCAACGGTGTCCAACGTCCAATGTAAAACTAACTTTACCGTGGTACAAAAATGTGGACTACACCACTGTCTGGACGGTTTCTTTCTTTTTGTTGGGATGTTTCGTTCATCATCCAAAGGACTTCATCAGTTCAGGACCAAAATTTGTTGGATTTTTGCTTGGATTATTGAGCATGAACTTTGATATTCTCATTGTTTCTCGGTGCAATGATAATAAAGCTTATTCTGATTCTGATGTTTTGAACACTTTGGCTATGGCTGCCTCACAGGAGTTGACTTTTTGCCCCAGAAACCATCTTATCACCAGCAAACTGGTTGGCCCACTATGCGGGTGTGCTGCTTGTGGGACTGAGTTTGTTGTGGCTCCTTGGACTGATGAAGTCAGTTGGATGAAGGACGAAACCTCTCAGAAAAACACACACACACACACACAAAACTATCCAGATGACCTGACTGAACTTTGTTGGATTTTAATTAACTAAAAAGAAAAAAAACAAATCAACGTGAAACCAAATTTTAGGTCTTAGTTGCCAATGACTAATAAAAAAGATAAACATTGATGAGTGTAGTCTGGCTGAGAGGCTGGTGGAGACGCCTCTCCGCCCCCAGTAAAACAGTAATTTATGTGTGGGGTCGTTCATATCATGGTTTGTAATCTGACGTCTTTGTCCTCGTTTCCTTAAAGCCCACGCTAAAATCTCTCTGCCTTTCCACAAAAGTCTCCCACTCAAACCTCTGACTTTCCTTCCTGCCCTCCTTCACCACGGCCTGCTGCTCCTTCAGTAGCACAGCCACTCCGTCATCGCCTCTCCCTGCTGAGGCTGCAGTTTGAACCCTCTGCAGCGTTCACACTCAGACACTTGGCTACACCTTCATCATGGCTGTCAGTGGAGCCGCTGAGCGTGCATTTACCGTCGCCTCAGACTGCTTTGGCTTTAAACACTCTGTGAGTCCAGAGAAATGTTGAGGTCTGCTCTGCTGGAAGGTTGTGACGTGGTTGTTTTTGCTTGTGGGTGTCTTAAAGAGTGGCTTTTCTTTTTCTTTACTCCTCACCCCAACGACAGCCATCCCTACAGGAAGCAGCACCACACAAACATCCTGTCGCCATCTATGCAGACCTCAACCTCCGCACACAACCCCTCTGTCTGCATCATCACAACTTTACCTTTGTTACATTTGTCATGCGGTGATATAATCAGTATCGTGGAGTTTAATTTTCAGCTTTAAAAAAAAAATCTCCTTGTCTACCCCTATGACTCAATGCTGACAAGTTTAAATGTGTTGTCAATGGCAATATTTTTACTTTGCGTTACAGGAAGTTGACACTGACACACCAGACGGCACACAGAGAGCAAACACACGACAAATTAGGTCAGCTGCACAACATGAACACAGATCATGACGGAGCTCGCCTCAACAGTGACTGTTTTTGAATCGGAAGTGCTTGTCATCAACGGATATCACAAAAATTGACTTTTTTTGTGACAGAAATTTTGCTAACGCAACAGAAACCTTTGAGCTGAATGAATATAAGTAACTACACATCACTGATGAAAACGTCTGTTGCTGACTTTTCCCCTCCTTTTCCCAAAGATGAGATTATCTAGGATTAATTGGATGGCCTGGGCTATTAATCTGAAAAAACACTGTAATCCAGGAGATTTACCTAATCCCTGATTCTTTACTTAAATGCCCACGTGACAACAGAATCTCTTCATTCATGGGGAAAATGCCCCTGCTGAAAAATGATGTGCTCTAGAAAGTGGAGTCTTTCCTGTAGGATCATGTCGAGGTTGTAAATACCTGAAGCTTTCTTTTACACATTCAACATCTAAAACTCACGTGCTGTGTTTTGTTATAATCTGCATGTGCGAACAAACTTTCTGTGGCATTTCTACACACGATTTGACACCTGAAACTGGGAAATTTACTCGACCGCAAAGCAAAAGGCGCACAATGAAGTGAGAAAATGTTTCCTGTCCTTAAAAAGTGGAATTACTGCATGTAGTGTACACATCACACAGTGTTCTGTGTGCATTTCTCCACCCTCCTCCTCCTCCTCAGCTCTTTTGCCGCTTGCTGCTGATTCATCATCGTTCTAAGGAAAAGAACAAAACAAAAATAAAAAAACTGAGTAATTTACAGAAGTTAAAACATCGTCTCATAGTCTTTTTTTTTTTTTGCTCTTTAAGCGCGTTTTAATGTAACACTTCCTGTTTTTTCATGTTTAAATAATTGACGTCGCGTCCAGAAAGATGGAAAAATACTTAATGGAATAAATTATAGCTAAGCTAAACAGTCGTGAATGATCTTCTTTTACAAATCAGGAGCCAGTAATCACACCAGCAGACAGCAAGGCTGTTCATGCATCATTTAATTTATCATTGACTCTCCTCTGTGTCATTCATTCAACTTTTATGCTTCTTGTAAAACTATCCTCCAGTGATTCTCCACCCACTTGTTGTCTCTTACCCCAAGACAAGAGTGAGGCCCACGCACACCGTCAGCGTCAGCACTGTAATCATGACGATGAGTGCCACCAGCAGGTCCTCTGTAGGTTGAAAAGGTGAGCTGTCTTTATGAGGCAGCGAGGGCAGAGTGACAGAGGCTCGGCGGGTCTGACTTGGCAAAGGGGCGACTGTGAAGGAGGAGAGATCACTTAATGTTCGTCTTTGAGACCAACACAAAGCACCAAAATGTTATTAGAATATCAGTTATTTTAAGGTTTAACGGTGGCACGCCTGAGTTGTAACTTTTATAAACTCTCAGAATGTTCACTAATAGTTCCCTTAAGTCGACTTAGAACTTTTACAATGAAACCTTTAAAGATAACTTTTTTAGCACGGTTCCCTAAGGGTTTACTGAAAACTTGCCACATTTTTAACTTTGTAAGTTTCAGGAAACCTTCAAGAAATATTCCCGAAATGTTCCCTGGTGCATCTTTCACCACAGAACCTTCCAGAAGTGAAGTAGCAACTTTGGCAACGTCACTTTCAGGGAATCGTCTGTAAATCTTTGAGTTTTTTTTTTATTCTAGTATTTGGTGAACAAAACATGGTGTTGGGTATAAAATGTATCCTAAGATGTAGGTTTCCCAGATAATCATCATAAAGTGCTTTATAAAGAACAATATTACAATGTAATAAAGTATAATTATTAACTAAAATAAACAAGAACAGTAGACGAAAGAAAAACAAAAGCTTAAAACTTTTCAAAATAAAAGTCTTGCTGCTCTTTAATAAATGTACAACAGTGGTCTCTAAGACATGTTGAAGTAATTTGACTGCAAATATCTGCTACTGTTTTTTCCTTAAACATTCAGTGTTTTAACGTTTTCAATTTTAGCAGCCTCTGTTAACCCCCCTGACATTTGTTCGTTCTCACAGACACCCTCACATCAAAATGTTGCACGCTGTGCAAGTTACTGAACGTTGACAAAAGTTCTCTCCCAATGCGCACGAAAAGACTCAAAGACAGTTATTACCCACAAGCTGTCAGATTACTGAACTCTTGATAATAATAATAAACAACTGACAATAACATATTGCACTAAGCCTGCGACACCTAATATGTTTATTGCTGCTGCACTATGTGACTGCATCATGTATGTCACTACCTTACCATCATAATTAAATTAATCTCACTGTTACTCACTACCTGTGCAATAACCTGTGTAGTTTATGTTAATGCACAATATATATATCCTGTGCATTTTAGCTTATATTACTACCAGTGAAACACTTACGTATTTATACTAATGCATCCTACTCGCACCATTATTTTCTACCATGTTGTTTACCAAATTTCTTTTGGACCATGTAAATATTATATTTCATTTTCACTTTTTGGTACTTTATTTTGTACCCTTATTGCATGATTTAGCATTTCTTCTTTGTTTGTTTGTTTTAGCGAGTCACACCGGTTCTTCTAATCCTGAACATTTCGTTACATTCATGACCTTGTGTTAACCTGCATATGACAAATAAACAACAGAACATTCTCTGACCTCTGGTAAGAGTGTTAGTGATCTGAACGTTGTCAACTGTCTTTTTATTTGTGACCTGATAGTCAAGCTTAAGTCAGAGCTGACCAGACTTGACCTGGAGAAAATAGTGCCTGCCTTCATTACAACATGACTTGATTACTGTAATAGACTTTATGTTGGGGTCAGGTCTCCCTTTCATGTCTCCAGCTCGTCCACAAATTCAAGGTTTTATCTTCCCTTCATTAGCTCCCCGTGAGTCACATAATAGATTTAAAAATTCTCCTGTTCACTTTTAAATGCCTAAATGGCCTTGCACCTTCATCTCTCTCTGATCTACTTCAACCTTATGTTCCTTCTCGGGTGCTGAGATCATCTGATCAGCTGCTTTTGGTTGTCCCAAAAACCAGTCTGAAGCTCAGAGGAGCTCGGGAGTTTTCAGTCGTGGCTCCTAAACTTTGGAACAATCCGCCCATCGACATTAGACAGGCCTCTTCACTCCCTGTGTTTAAATCTCTTCTAAAAACCCATCTGTATTCACTGACTTGTTGTTGCAGTATTTTATTATCCATGTTAATTTTCTTCAGACACTTTTAATTTTTTTTTTTTATTTTATTCACTGCCTTTGTCTATTATTGCTCAGCCTTTTGGTAATAAATAACCTGTTGTTTTTCAGTGTGCGTTATAAATAAACTTGACTTGGACTTTGAAAGCTTTAGTCTACCTGAAAGCAGGAAAGAGACTTGGAAGAAGACGACTCCACTTTGGTCCTGCAAAGAGCACCGGTATGTTCCTTCTTCATCCAAATGCAGCTGATTCAAGACCACAAATGAGTCAGGCGTCACCACCAAGGCCGTGAAGTCACTTTCATCCAACTGTGCATACAAATTAGATGGCAGGTAACTTGGTTTGGCTATAGACAACTAAATGTGGTTGGAAATTTGACACATAAGAGGTATTGTAGTTGGGAAAGATGAAAACGAAGTATATCTCTACCAAGGTAAATTGAAAAACCTTTTTGGTTCCTGGCTTTCTTGGTGCCCAGGAATAATGGTACTCTGGTTTTCCTAACAGAAGTCGATGCCATGGAAGAAAACAATCCAGCACCGCTTGCCCTCCCTCTTCTGCTTCCACTGGAAAGACTAAAAACGGGGTGAGAAGAGGCAAAACAGGAGACCGTTTATTTAGTTGCATCTGGATTACATCTGTAATCTTTTTCATTAACCTTGCACATGGACAGGCAGCTGCTCCTTGCTTAACACATTTCCACACGCGTGACAGCGTGCTTTTATGTATTCTGAAGAACGATGCACTCCCACCGTGTAGGTGGGACCCCGCCCTCTCCACTGCATCCACTCATCAAAACCTTACACAAACACAGATAAAAAATATACCCCCGCAGTCCTGCTGGCCTGTTGGAGAGGGACAGATGTACATCTTGTACTGGCAAGAGAGGCAGTCCATTACCCTTCTATGCAGAAGCCCTGAAAAGCACACAGAATCACTCACATGAACGCACACGTGTCCTGTGAACATGCAACAAAGTCAACATTTTAGCACGCTAATCAATAAGAGGGATCAGACAGAACCAACTTACCACATGCGTTAGGACAGAGTCCTGAGGGAGAAACAGAGAAATCATCTGGAACTAATGCAGAGCACTAAAACACACAAAGTGCCCTGCCTCTTACTGAGCAGAGCACTCGCTGTCTTTCAAGCTGATTACCGTCAGAAATGAACGCGTCCAAGTGTTTCTCTAAGATCTTCCTGCCTTTCTCCATGATCTGAATGGTGTCAAACGTTAAAGAGCCTTTAAATGAACAAGATTCATTACGACATCGTTAGAAACTAATTGTGCTCTGAGTCTGAATACACTGTCAGTTTGATACAGAAAACAAATACTGTATTTGTGCTCGTCTTATTATTTTGCTGCAACTCTTTTGAACCTTTTCTGTTCATTTGAAGTAAAAAAAAATTTATATCTTACCAGTGTGATCCATTTTCAGGAAACGGTCAAATTCACTCTGGTACTCTGTTTTGGCTCTGTACAGAGTGGTGGGATCTGAGATGGTATAAATAAAACCAGTAACATCACTTCAGAAAATGTATTAAAAACAAGATAAGCTGTATAATGTGCATGTCTCGAGTTGTGGAGGTCAAACCCAAGAATGGAGACCAATTTGAGGAGCTCTAACAAAAACTGAAATGTTTAATAATTAAGAATACTACAAAAACAATGAAACTGGTGTGGCAGCAGAAATGCAATGCGTTGACGCAGGAGGAAACACGAGGAGCCACAGTAAGGAACCTGACAGGACAAGAAGCACAATGGTGGACTGCTGGATGAGACGAAACCAGAGTATAAATGGACTGGACTGATGAGAAATAAGGTGCAGGTGAGGCAGAGCTGAGGAAAAATAGTGCATGGAAAACAGGAAAGCAAAACATGAACATTAGAGATCTAAAAAAAAAACCACAAAACAAAATAAATAACATTTTATAAAGAAAAAAAACTAAGAGCAATAAACAACCCATAATGCAGATCCTGACACTACTGCATTGGGAGCTCTTACCAATGACCCCCTCTCGTGCTTTGCTGGTGTCTTGGTAAGTCACGTAGGCGTAGTTGCAAATGTCTTGCAATTCAATCTGGTCATTCATAGTGGGAGCAGACAAGATGAAGTCCTCATGCATGCGCAGGATGCTGCCGTCACACTGGAGGCAGGATTCAGCAGCATGGACAGCACAGAGCAAAGACACGAGGATCAGCAGCATCTTTCCTCTGGATCGTCTGTTCGAGTCAGGTTGGGTCCTGGGAATGTTTCTTTTCAAACAAAAATGACATATAATATTTGTGATACTGGACAAAGATTACAGTCCAAGTTTCTAGTACCAGAGTAATACGTACTACTATCACTGTTAATATTGCTTAATAATGTGTTTTACATAGTGAAAAGCAGCGATCAAACACAATTATCATAGTAATCACATGTAAACATAAATTAAACTTTGACACGTCTGTGTGGGCAGTTTATTTCATCTTGTGATTGTATTTTAACTATTTTATTTCAGCTTAAGTTACATATAACTATATATTTTTTTGTATTGCTTATTTGTTAACAATAGTTTTATCTTGCTTTCCTTTATGGACTCTTTAGAATGCCTAATCTTGTACCACCCGGTTCACTAACCTGGCCCCATACAGTTCAGTTCAGTTTATTTATATAGTGTCGCTGCCAATTCACAACAAAGTTGTCTCAGGGCACTTTACAGAAACATTCACATTATAAGAAAAGCCAATTAGTAAAGGTCTCTATGTAAGGAAGCCAGCAGGCTCCTTGAATCCTGTACATTATACAGTCACCTGTACAAATTTTATTTTACAAAATAAGCTACTATCTAAAATAATTTTCACCAGCACCAGCGCTTTCAACAACAAAAACACCAGCCAACCTTCCTGTGGGCAAACATTGAGCCAACTGCTGTGAAGTTTACAGGAAACCATTCAGCTCCTGTGTAGCTTGTTCGTTGCTGCCACCCAGTGGCAGAACATGTTATTACGTTTAAATATTTTTTGTTGTCGTCTTTGATCTTTACCTTTTAGTGAAGGAACTTTTCCTGATAAAATTAGCACAAACTAAAGTCGATTCAAAGGCGCTCTCTTACTGCCTGATCACTTTTCAAAGTATTAATCCGTTAGTACAAAAACAAACAAAAATAAATAAATAAGCCTAACTACTTTTGTTCAAAACATTTAGTGAGCTGCTAAAGCCAAAAACAGATTTTTAAGACATTTCTTAATATAGCGACCGTTTCCAACGGCAACTGTCGTGAAGAGTAAAGTCGGTGCTAACTGGCGACAATCAAGTTTTAGCATCAACTAGCATCAAGCTCACGAGGCGTAAGCTTTTATGTCACGTGACGCATTGTTTAGCCTTTTTTTCTGTCTCGAGGGTTTAATATCAATGATCCAGATATTTCTACCTCCTAATCAGAAACTTGTAAAAACAATATCTTCTTAGGAAATTTAACTTGATCTCATAAACGGACCCTTTGTTTCTTTTTGTTGTAACCGAATGAATTTGAATGCATTTTTGCGCATTTGTTAAGAAAATAGTAGTTTGTATAGACTAAAAGGTACACATTATTTTATTTTACCCATTTATGTATACATTTATTTCCCTTTTTTAAAACTTTATTTTACTTTATAAATTGCAAGACCTCAACACCAATAATCCCTATGTCTGTGGTTATTTTGTATCATTTATATATCATTATTCCTCCGTTTATTATTTTTCTTATTTGATATTACTTATTGTATTCAAGATCTTTATATATGTATGTAATGTTATTCATTCAAAGTAAAAAATGCCTACCTCCGTTTTTTTTTATAATATATATATATATATTTTATATACTATGTATTCTAGAATTGCGCCGCTCAAGGTGGCTGCATGTTGGAGCAGCTCTGTTTCTTTCATTCTGAGATTTTGCTTTTGGAAACTTTAATTCCTGTTTTTCTGGATGTAAATCACTTTTTTTGGATGATTGTTTCCTCTGGTATCAGATGCTGTACAGTCGGAAGGATTTGTACTGAAACTTTTTCGGTTTTGGACATTTGTTATGATGCGTAACCATGGCAACAAGGCAGTTTTCTACAACAACAGCAGCTGAATAACATCTCAAAAGCTCAAATAATATCTCAACTATGGCCCCAACTCTCACATGAGTTGAAAAGGATGTTCTGTGGACGCATTCTCATCTACCTGCCAGCTGTGCTCGAGTGCCTGACCTCTGAGGTCCTGGAACTAGCAGGAAACACGGCTCACGGCAGCGGATGGACGGGATCGTCCCTCAGCACCTACGGTTGGCTGTCGGCAGCAATGAGGAGCTCGGCAGGGAGGAGTGGCCATGGCTCTGGGAGGAGTTCTGCCAAGCATTCAAGCTGTCCTACAGTCCAGGGGAACCGAGAGGCCAGCCGATTCTGGGTGGACAGATCGGACGGCACCTGCAGCCAGTTTCTTAGGATCCACTGTGGGATGGACCTTTACAAGAGATCCTTCCTGTCTGCAGCCATCAGTATCTATAACATCTCTTAATGAAATGAGGATAACGAGTTACAACAACAAAATAATTTCCCTCTGGGATTAATAAAGTATTATTGAATTGAATTGAATATATATGTGTGTGTGTATATACACATACACGTATATATATATACGTTTTTACATAAACGTCAACAAAAAGTAGCTGTAAAGCAACAAAAGACAGGAAAGAAGCAAGCTATGAATGTATTTGAGAACGTGGTGTTTACGCATGCGCATTGGTATCCACCACCGTCACATTTCTTACCGTCAGCATATTGCGCATGCGCAACAATCGAGAACGGCGTTTTTTTTAGAGAATATCACTACATTTCCCAGAATGCCGAATCCGTGGAACTTCGAATCTTTCTGCGCCTGCGCAGTAGGATGCTTGCGCTGAAGTCTGTACATTGTGCGCATTTTGACCTCGGCCACTGGAAGGCAATGACAAGGTAAATATCTGTAGACTACTGTTCGTAAATATGTTACGGAGAATATGAATCTGTCATTAGAACTCGCATGTTTTGTCTGTAAATTACGTTATTAATATGTCGTTAAACTATGAGAGCGTTATCCGGTCAGCTGTTTGTGTTGAAACCAAACCCAGCTCGCTACAAGTACTGCTTGTTGTTATTATCACTTCCTGACAGCGTCGACACCCGAGTTGAAAGTTTATCGACATGTTTGAGTCGTTAGCTTTACTTTGATGTGTAAACCTAACAACATTTACGTACGGCTTTGACTCAGGGGGCATTATCGTGAACAGAGACAAAACGGTGTTTTACGCTCCTAGTCACCCAGAGGATCCCAGTTTAAGAGCCTTGTCCTAAACTCATGCAACCAGACTGGGAAGTAGAAACTTAAAATGATGCAGTTTATGTTACATGAAATTTCAATAGATGTCATTTAAGCTTGTTATATTTATGGTGCACTTTGGACAAAAAAAATCTTTGTGCAGAGGAAGTAAAGAAAACATTAATTTGAGGAGTTGATGTAAGTGATAAAAGCTGATTTTTGCTGTTGCCTGCAAGCTTCATTAAAGTAAAAATAAGTTAATTGGTTTTGAAGTTACCTTTTTGGTTATTAAGTTTTTTTTTTGTTTTTTTTGTAGCTGACTTGCAATTTATTACAAACTACAGGCTTGCTTCAGAACCGTTATTAGTAAGATCAACCTACGAAATAAATTTTAATTTGCTTGAGTGATAAATCAAGTAAATATTATTTAGGAGGTAAATAGTATTTTATAAACTAAATACTAGGTATGTTGCTGACTAAGAGTCTGCACTTTCACTGATCATAACCCACTTTTATGGTTTCATTGCCTGTTGCTGCTGGTGCCTGACTGGCTGTAGCAGCACAGAACTTCACCTGTCATTTACCTGATTACACTACTTGTGCTCGCTTTGATGATGCTTGGATACGGTCTCAAACTTAAAAATGTGTAAACACAGTATAGTAGGTGTAACACACAGACTGTCGCTAGTTTAACTTGTTCTAACCTGCTGAATGTTGTTATCTGCCTTTCCACAGGTTTGAACAAATCCATCCTCATCACACTACGGATATGTTGCTGAAGATTTGGAGGTAGACTTAAGACTGGTGCCAGTAAACAGATATATTCATTTTAATCACTCACTGACAGCATTATAACTACAGCTGCCACTCCTCCTCAAAAGCTGCTTCTCTTCTCATTTCACTGCAAGTTTTCAGTATGTATCAGATTGTCCCAGGAGCTCCTGTAGAGCAGCCAGTGATTAAAGCAGCTCATGGCTCCCCGCTTAAAAAGAAACTAGGTAAAGAAGGCAGGCCACTGGTGCTGGCAGGTATGCTGGGCTGTTTGTTGGTCCTGGCTTCTGTGATCGCCTGGTGCTACTATTCAGTGTCTCTCCGTAAAGCCCAGCTGCTGAAGACTGAGCTACTAGATTTGAATAAAGATGGCTTCATCATACGTAACCCTGCAGGGACTGTTGTCTTCACCATGAACTTCAGGTAAGTTTGCTGTAGAAAGTCTGCTCATTGACGAATTTTAGTCTTTATGAGTATGTTTGTTCATTGGATCAGAATGTTAAGTGCTACAGTTTAGAAATACAATTAATAGACACCACTGATTGTCTATGAACTGCTAAGATGTACAGTACAGACTCAGGCAAGTGCCTTTATGCAGAGTGCTAAATGGCTTCATTGAAATTTGCTGAAGAAGCTAAAACTGAGTTGCTAAAGCTAAAATAAGCAGAACAGAGGCTAAAATGAGCAGAAGACAAGCTAAAAGCAGACAACAGTAGGTAAAGGCAACAAAACATGATAAAACTTAAATCAGCAAATCATTATCCGATATTACAAAAAAATGTAAACTCTAAAAGCAAAAAGTAGCTAAAAATTAAAAGTAGCAAAACAATAGCCAACATCTAAAAGAACATAAAAAGGTTTGCTAAAGCAGATTTTAAAAAGAACAGTGTTTTTGAAGGAGCTGAAGAGAGCTCAGTGTATTTTGAAAAGGGCTTTCTAAATTAATCATTTGAAAAGTCATAAACAGATAAATCACTATTTTGGATTCAGCTTAACACTTGGCTATTTCAATAGTTAAAACAGCAGAAGTAGTTTGATTGAAAGAACATGCAGAATAAACAAGAAAATATTGTGAATGCTGACTCAGATATAAATAGCCCTGTTGGTAAATTAATCACAACTTTTAATATTCTTTGTATCATGAAAAAAAAAGTTTCAGTTTAGTTGTCCTCAGTTGGAAAAGTGTGGATTGCTCTCTTCAGCTCGAGGGTGAGGTTCTGCCTCAAGTGGAGGAGTTCAAGTATCTCGGGGTTTTGTTCAGGAGTGAGGGAAGAAATGGAGCGTGAGATTAACAGACAGATTGTTGCAGCGTCTGCAGTATTGCGGACTCTGTCCTGGTCCGTTGTGGTGAAGAGGGAGCTGAGCTGTAATGTGAAGCTCTCTGTTGGCCGGTCGGTCTACGTTCCTACCTTCACCTATGGCCACAAACTCTGGGTAGTGTCCGAAAGAACAAGATCACGGATAGAGGTGGTTGATTTGAGTTTCCGCCACAGGGTAGCTGGACTTTCTCTTAGAGATAGGGTGAAAAGTTCAGTTATCTAGGAGAGACTCAAAGTAGAACTGCTGCTCTTCCACATAGGGAGGAGCCTATTGAGGTGGTTCGGGCATCTGGTAAGGATGCTCCCTGGGTGCCTCCCTAGGGAGGCTTAGGTTCCTCTTTATGTGCTGAATATGTAATTTGGAGTTTGCTGATGAAAAACCAGACAAGAAAGACACCTGGTTACACCCTGAGGGAGGACCAATTTAGTCATGTCCTACATCAGCAGAGTTACACTCGATTCATAGATTTGGAGCGGTCCCTCAGATACCGGTAGATGAAATGATCAACTGTTTTTTTTTTTGTCTGGATGCATTTAGACTCTGTTGTTACAATCCTAATTTAGTGAGCAGTGAAGTTTTCAGTGATATCAAAAAAGACGAACTTGCTTAGTACTGTGCTAAACTTACCTTTTTGCAATATGTGTCTCTGTCTGTACACCAACCTAGGTCAGACACTCTGGATTTGGACTCCTGCTCAAAAGAGGGAAATATTCTGAGCTGTACTCGGTCCATTTCTGGCAATCTGAACTTTTTCATCCAGACAGTCCGACCAAAAGACACCGTTATCTGTTACCGTGTTCGTTGGGAGGAGCTGCAGAGTAAACACTCTGTCGAACACACGATGACCTACAATGGCTCTCACTGGTACGGAGGAGCAGAGACGGCAGCACAGTACTGGCCTATTAGATTCCAAGGGGAAGTGGAACCACGGCCTTTCATCACCAGTGACGTCTACTCCAACCGAAATGCTTTCGGTGGAATTCTTGAGCGTTACTGGCTGTCGTCCAACGCAACCGCAATAAAGATTAATGACTCCGTGCCATTTCATTTGGGTTGGTCAGAGAGGAACAGGACTCTGAGGTTTCAGGCCCGGTATCAGGACTCACCCTTTAGACCACCAGCAGGACAGCAGGCCTTTCCTGAGCTCAGCTACAGAGTTTGTGTGGGGTTGGACGTTACCTCGATTCACAAATATATGGTGAGTGTCAACACACTGCTGTTACCAACATGTTAATGTTTTTTTATAATAGTTTCAGACAAGAGCATGGACTTTAAAAGTTTAGTGTCACTAATACAAAGGTAATAAAAAATCTTCAGGGATTTTTTTTTAGATCATAAATCTCTCTGGTCTCGAAGGTAAGAAGCAGTTTGTTTCAGTTACAGTTTAAGCTTTTTTTTTAATTTTCATTGTTTTGAAGATTGAAGACAGCCCCTATGCCCCCCCAAAAGCCAAACCTCAACATAATGTAAACTGTGCACAGAAAACTTATTTAAAGTTTACAGGACTTCTACTAATATGTCTAAATCGTTGACAAAATTACTGTTTCATTCAGGCAATCCTTTGTGCAGCTGTATGGGAACAAAGGTCCTAAACATCACTATGTCAGTGGGTTTATAATAAAAAAAATAAAAAGCTGAAAAGGGAAGTTACAAACCCATTTTAAACAAGTCAGTGGCATGTTGCTCATGTTCTAATAACTTTAAAAATTTTTGCTTCATCTACAACAAATATTGCTTATTACACCGTGTTAAGCATCCTGAGAGATGGATCTTGACAACTCAGAAGGCATGGAAGGCAACATGATGAAACTTATACTTAACAAAAAGTAGATGTACTTCGTCTGTAAGTTGACCACACTGGCTAAAGTTTGTATTGGGTATCAAAGTAAAGTCATGTAAAAGGGTTTACATTTCAGTTGGCATGTTACAAATATTTCAGAGCTTTGGCATTTTGAGAAATGTATTGGCAGAAATCAAAATAATATTCAAAAGTGGTATAATTTAGAAACATTAACAAGTAATATTTGTCTTTACATTAGCCTTGAATGATTATTTGCATTCTTGTCATCCCTCTGTATTGTTTACTACAGAAAACAACATTGTGTTTTTCTTGGTTTTGTTTCTCCTACATAAGGCAGAGGAGCTATTACAGTCGTCAGCTTCACCATTATCAGATATTTTCCTCAGTGCTTAGTGCAACATGGCATGTGTAAAAAGTATTAATGCAACCTTGTTTTTAATCTTTAGACTATTTTGCTCTCCTTTTTTCTGTCCTTAGCCAATAATGTGCTGATGAAACAGAAGATGGAAGTTTTCTGCAACCTATGTGCATGCCGATTTTTACAAGACGATGTCACATTTATATACTGTTGACAATGTCAGATGCAACCACTCTAAGAACACGCACACACAGAGTTAATAATCCACTAGACATTCACTTTCCCTTTTAGAATATGCCTGTGTTTTGCTCTTGCTATCTAAAAATGTGCATTTGACACGATCTCCTGATGTCAGTTGGAACATTTCTGGCATTTACGTTCACTGTGCAACAGTGAAGAACTGTGAAACAACGGTTTACTCAGAAACTAAAAGGGCAGTCAGCTTTTACACCACAGCCAGAAGTCTTGTCGTCCTCTGCAGAGAGGAAAAAGCTTGGCTGTTCAGAAAGTAAACATAATTATCCTCTCGCAAATGAGATCAATGCTGTTCTTGCCATGGTAATGACCCTGATTTTAATTTTATTTGTATTTAAACCTTTTATTTTACCAGGAAGAAATCCATTGAGATTATTAATCTCTTTTATAAGGATGTCCTGATGCATGAAGATTGAAAGCAGACTTCAGATAACATGCCTCTATCTATATGTGGCAACTAATAATTCAAGCAAATGACATTCCAAAGAGACTTACAAACTTCCATCTTCATTTTAATTTAAATTAACTTGCTTCTTCAATAAAAACAATAAACTTGTTAAAACCATTTGTTTAAATTACATAAACTCACTCTTTCAGGTTTGAATAAAACAACAAAATATGTTTGTAATTGCATGTTAATGCCATGTTATGCGTTTTACTCAGGTTCGTCGTTATTTCCCAAAGCCCATCAAAGTCCCGTCCCCTGATGTGTTCAAGAAACCGGTGTGGTCCACATGGGCTCTACATAAATCCTCTGTCACCGAGGAGAAGCTGCTGCGCTACGCATCTGACATCACCAAGCACGGCTTTTCATGCTCCCATCTGGAGCTGGATGATCGCTACACCACTAACTATGGAGAGTTTGATTTTGACCCGCAGAAGTTCCCTAATGCTAGCGGCATGTTTGCCAAACTCAGGGAGGACGGGTTTCAAGTCACGCTGTGGACACATCCTTTCATCAACTACGACTCCATTAATTTTGGGGTCGCTGTGGAGAAAGGGCTGTTTGTTCGCGAGCCGAGTGGTGAGCTGCCTGCTCTGGTTCGCTGGTGGAACGGGATCGGTGGCATCTTGGACTTTACAAACCTGGAAGCCTGTAAGTGGTATTCCTCTAACCTGCACATTCTTAAAGCTCGTTACAATGTGTCGTCCTTCAAGTTTGACGCAGGAGAAACAAGCTACCTCCCTCGCCAGTTTAGCACCCTGGTCCCACTATCCAACCCGTCTACCTTCACCCGGCGCTACACGGAGATGGCCATCCCATTCAGTTCACGCGCCGAGCTGCGGGTGGGTTACCAGAGTCAGAATATCTCTTGTTTCTTCAGGATCATTGACAGAGATTCGGTGTGGGGTTACGAGCTCGGCCTCAAGTCCATCATCCCCACTGTTCTGACCATTGGCATTCTGGGCTACCAGTTTGTCCTGCCAGATATGATAGGAGGGAATGCATACCCCAACCACACTGCAGGTAGGAAACTTAAGAACTAAAGTAGATTTATCTACAGGAAGTTGAAGTCTAGTTGGAGACACAAACTTGTTTGTTTCAGTTTCACGCTACAGTCTGACAGCTGTGATATGTTGTAGGTAAAGTAAACGGGACAATCGGTCTGCCGGACAGAGAGCTGTACATCAGATGGTTGGAGCTTTCTGCTTTTATGCCTGCCATGCAGTTCTCTATACCCCCGTGGGCTTATGACGATGAGGTGAGCAAAGTTAAACATGTTTTACTTATTAGATAAATTAATGATGTGCAAATTAATGGTTAAATTGTAAAACAAATTTTACTTTTATTTGGCATTGGTGCACATCTCCAAACGGCCGAAACATTTTGTAATTACCTGCACTAGTTTTGCTAACAATATTAAATAGTCAATAACAAACAATTGTGAAAAATAGACTAAACATTTGTTTGTGGAAGAAGTGAAAACAAAATGTTTTTATAGAATTGCTGACCACAAAAATAATAATCACACCATAAAAATATTAATTAAAAAAAAAAAAGAAAATCAGGATAAAGCCAAAGAAACATAGTTATGACACCACTAGAAATATAACATGTATGAAAGAAACTCTTTAAATGAGAATTAAATCATCCATCCATCCATCCATCCATCCATCCATCCATCCATCCATCCAT